CCCCCACTGCCTAACGTTGCTTTCTGAACCTACAAGAAAAGTAGCTGTCTGACCTAAAACGGCGCCTCCGCCACAGCCAAACAGCAGGGCCCTGAAGGACGGACCGGGCGTGCGGGCCACGGCCGCCACGACCTAGTCTTCCAGCCGCCAAGGCTCACACAGGGCGCGCTCGCCACACCGAAACAGCAGGGCCCTGAGGGACGGACGGGGCCTGCGGGCCACGGCCCCCACTGCCTAACGTTGCTTTCTGAACCTACAAGAAAACTAGCTGTCTGACCTAAAACGGCGCCTCCGCCACAGCCAAACAGCAAGGCCCTGAGGGACGGACCGGGCCTACGGGCCACGGCCCCCAGTGCCTAACATTGCTTTCTGAACCTACAAGAAAATTAGCTGTCTGACCTAAAACGGCGCCTCCGCCACAGCCAAACAGCAAGGCCCTGAGGGACGGACCGGGCCTACGGGCCACGGCCCCCAGTGCCTAACGTTGCTTTCTGAATTTACAAGAAAACTAGCTAGCTGTCTGACCTAAAACGGCGCCTCCGCCACAGCCAAACAGCAGGGCCTGAGGACCGCGCCTGCGAATTTTCTCTTTTCGCCCCTTGTTGCTAGTAAGGCCTCCTCTGACGCGCTCCCCCTGCTGGCGGCAGGGGTCGGCGGATTAAGTCAGCTAAAATTGTTCCTGCCATCTTTTATTCTTCTACAAGTAGACGAATGCCTGTGCAACAAATGAACATATCTAAGCTATCTAAGCTATCTAAGCATACAACAGTTCTAAAATGGTTTCCCCTTGCAGTAGCTGGTATTTCATACGTTTGGCCAAGCAGGAAACCATTCCAGACCCCTTCCCAAAGATAAATACCTACAGGGGTAGGTAGGTAGGTACAACCCAATGCTAATGAATTTCAGTGATAATCAAGGCAGCTAAAAACTATTTCTGCCATCTTTTGTTCTTGTACAAGTAGACCAGTGCCTGTGCAACAAATTATTATATGTAAGTTATCTAAGCATACAATGGTCTAAAATGGTTTCCCCTTGCAGTAGCTGGTATTTCACACGTTTGGCCAAGCTGGAAACCATTCCAGAACCCTTCCCGCAGATAAATCCTCAAGGTGTATTGTCTAGGGTGACATCTCCGTGTCATAGCTGCCTAGCCCCCCCCAAATATCCCAAAAGAACAAGTGTCCAGTTAGTGGTGTCCTGATGAAGGTAAACAAACTTATATTTTTTTTAAAGTGACAGCTGCGACAACTGTAGTTCGACATACAGCTGCTTGTTGATTCCGCATGTGATGATATGTTCCTTGTTTTTCTCCTTTGACGCAAAAATACTATTGTTTTGAAAAAACTGCATGTAGGAATTTATTGAAAATTTATCTGGTTGGACATGTCTGCATAAAATTAAACAAACAGTCGCACGGGAAATGGAACGAGTCCAAAACTAAATTCGTTTGGAAAGGGGTGACTTAGGGGACATTTTGAAAGCATTTGGGTTCGGGTATACTTTAATGGTTTGGCAAGAAAGGAAGCAAAGAGCGCGGGCAAAAAGTTGGCTCTATAGGTAGTAAATGATACGACCATTTGTGGCCGCCACCCACTGAAAAATGTTGTGGAGTATCATGGAGTGCTCTTTGCAGTGTTTTTTTTTATTCGCCTTATGTTGATCTATTTTTGTTGGGGCGCAGATTTCCTTATCGTTTTTTCCTGAAATGCGATGGTTTCAACAAGGATTTTTTAAATGTTTTTAAATGTTTTTTTAAGGGTGGAAAAT